GCTGTTGCTCATCTCTCATCCCGACGAGTCGCGACGATCTATCGGCAAATGCCGTAATTCGGTGCAGGATGTGACGCTAGTTCGAGTTCCCTTTTTGTGTACAAATTGGATCAGATTTGGGATCAAAAAAGCAAAATGACGAAGACCTGTCTTTCACAGCTTCGAAAGAAAGCCTGTTCACGGAAAAACAATCGCTCAAATGGGACAGACGCATTCTAGTTGCTAAGGCATCTTAGGCTTCGCAAACACAGCCGGATCGGACGGCGGCAAAACTCGAAGCAAAGTCTCGCCTGAGGGTCAGATAAATTGGTTGGCAACTTTTGGTTCAGACGCCCAACTTAAAGAGAGCCACAAACGAGGCAAGTAAGGTGTAAAAAGAGAATGCAGAAAGGTAGGGATTGAGGAAAGGACGGATCTTCGCATCCATCATTTCCATCTCCTGCTCACTGTCGCTTCCTCACTTCGTTGATCGCCAGAAATCAGACTGTCAAGTATCCGTGGCTCTAGCGTCAACTTCATTTGCAGACTTGTCGTGAAGCCAAGCTCAGAGCTCATTTGCCGAAAATGGCAGAATGAGCACTTGGAGCCGGCCACTGTGACGTTGGAAAACCGAGCCAAATGTAGACAGTGTCCACACATCAATGCCGGATCGGTCCAGCATCACTTTGGGGTGCTGTCTGTGGGGAGTGGATCAGAAGTGCCGTTTATGATTTGATCCTTAAAAATAGTTGGATCAAAGACAAGCACAATGCATGCTCAGAGGGAAATAATCTCCAGCGGAGGGTTGCATGGGCAAAATGTTTAAAGAAAATCCTACTTTTTGCTCAGTGTTTGCATACAAAAGTGCAAGGTGTAGTGTTTTTTTTAAGGCTGGATGAGAGAAAACATTTTTACTGGATGCTGGACTTACTCTCACTCATATTGTGCGTCCTCCTGGTCCTCGAATGCGTCTAAATCCACGTGTCACACTTAAATCACACAAAGATAACTAATCACTCCACGAGAGGTCTTTCGCATGGAATCGCGATGCCTCAAATTGTTACACCGGCTCTGAATGCGGCGTCAGTTGGAGAAACGTAAACACTGAAAGATGACGAAAGAATGGCAGACAAGAAACCACCGGACATATCATTGGTTGACTTAGGCCTATCAATGCACAAAGTGACCTAGAGCCTCGACCAATCATAAATTAGCGACATCAGCATATGTTGTCTGCATGTTGTGATGGTCCCTCGTGTCTGTCAGTCGTCTCGGTAGGTCTGTAGATCTGCTGCTTGGTTGGTTGGTAAATCGGTGGTTCGAGATCAGTCTTTCAAAGACCATTTTGAGGCCACCCAAAACCTGCTGTAACATACAATCGAAGACCGACCTGTTGCATATACACTTCATTGCCCAAGGCCGTGCTAGTCCCGGTTAACTGCAAAAACATGCCTCGTTCGTTGTCTGTGTGCAATTAAATTGCAATGAATTAAGACACTACTTC